CTCACCACACTCCGCCTATAACCTATAACCATCTCCCTGCCCCTATAATCTACCCACTGTCCTCCCTGCTGTCACCATGTGGCTCCCTCTGCCGGCAGTGCCAATTCCATGGAGCTGACATTCCCCTCGTGTGTGCTTTGCCACCCCCTTCGGAAGCCTTCCCCAGCTCCCTGGGGTGGGTATCTTGCTCCTCTGGTTCCCCACACCCTATTCGCATCCCTACTGGAACCACAGGCACACACTCTCAAGCCCTAAGGGACCTGAAAAGGCACCTTGGCCGCAGCATCTAGCCGCAGCTTTCACACCTCCGGGGATGGAGAGCACACCAGCTCTCTCGGGCACTTCTGCCTATCCGGAGCAGCCCCAATCGTTAGAAAGTCCTTCCCTTTCCTGTGGTTTGGCCCCAGGCCGTAAAGAACCTGTTGGTGCCCTCTCCCTGGGCTGGCCCTGCCAGAGATCTGAAGGTAGCATCCACATCGTTCCTGGGTTTTTCTTCTCAAGTTGACCATTCCCTCCCCTTCAGATCCTTTCCAGAGGCCTTAAGTTGCAGCCCCTGCCCCAGACTTGTTCCACTCAGCCTCTGTCTTCTCCCGCAGTAGAAGATATAAACTGAACCTGCTGCTGATTGTGGCCTGAGCAGTGCCAAAGAGCTGACCCATCACCTCCCTCTTTCTACATAGTCTACCTCTGTTAATGCAGCCAGGGAATCACAGAAGTGATGTTATAGTTCTTCCTGCCAAGGAAAGCCCCCAAGCCCTTCCCCACCCTGTTTACTTGGTTGGATTTGGGGCTCAAGGGAAGGATCTTCATTTGTTCTGATCCTTGCTTCAGTTTGTGAGAATCTGACGGTTTATGCCTTTGTTGCCCCCTGCAACTTCAACCACATCTAGGCCAAAGCCCTGAATGGTTAGGGCCCCAGCTCCCTTGGGGATCCGCCAACCCTCTCTAAGTGGCAGTCACAGCTCCGGAAAGAGGGCTGGACTAGAGCTGGGGACTTGAGAGGCTGCAGCGTGGAGGCGGCAGCTGGAGTCGTGAGGCAGTTATAAACTCAAGGGTACAAACATCTTCTGGACAAACCCACCCAGACATCATATGGGCACCCTGTCTGCCACCTGGCCAAAACTAAGTTCCACCTTTCTCCTGAGCCCCCTTCTCTGAACCCCCCTGCTCAGAACCCCCGTTCTCAAGAGTCCCCCAAATCAGAAACTGGGGGGAGCATCCGCACTCTTCCTCCTCCTCTCACATCCAACCTACATCCAATTTGTCATGGTGTTTGTTTTTTGGTTCTAGTGTTCACAGGTTCTCAACCCTGGCTCAGGATCTGAGTCCTTCGGTGGGGGATTAAAAAAACAAAACAAAACAGCTTCCAGACCAAATGAGAATCTATGGGGATGGGGCTGGTGAGGTTAAGTTTTTTTTTTAAGCCCCCCCAGGATGGAGAACCACTGGTCTGGTCTCACTCCTCTCTGGCCGGCTGGCCATCTCGGCTCTAGCATCATCACCTCCGGCCTGAGCAATCAGAAAAGAAAATCGGTGCGGGAGTGAGAAAGCACTGCCCCACCACAGGGACCTGCTGCAACAGGGGAGAGAATATCCCACTAGAACCACCACGCGTGCAGCCCTGGTGGTCTCTCCAAGCAGAGGCTCCAGGATTCCAGGATACCCTCCTGGAAGTAAGAGTGTGAATCCTCCAAGGGGTGCGGAGGCCAGGCAGCCTCCGGGGCGTCCTGGGGGACGGTGGCAGGCTGGCAGGCCGGCTTGATTCATTCCTGCTGGAGCAGGAGTTGCTGTTGTCTGTCTCGAGGGCTATTTTTTTTTCCCCTTGTTCTTTTTAATGACTAATCAAAGCCGGTATTACTAAAGCAGAGAGGCCCAGAGCTGAGTCAGGTCAGGGGTGTGCGAGAGGCCGAGCTGGGTCTCCAGAAAGAGAGGGCTCTCCTTTCTGACCCCTTCCTCCTTTCCCCATCCTGCAAACCTCCCCCTCCCCCAGATCCCTGCCCTCAGCCGGGTCTACCCCTTAGCAGGGCCCCAGAGCAGCTCAGGGAGGCAGCTTCGGGCTGTGGGGAGGGGCTGAGCTCTGCCTCCCTCCAGGTGCTGTGTGACCTTGGATAAACTCCTGGCCCTTTCTGACCTCAGTTTTCCATTTGTAAAATAGCAGGTTGGACTAGATAGTTCCTGGAGGCCATCTGTACCTCAGATGAACACGTACCCAAATCCACTGGGTTTTTTTTTTTGTGGGGAAACTCCAAGGAGGTGATGAGAGGGAACGAAGGAAGGAGAGGGCCCCTAGCCTGGGTCTATTCTTACACTCCCATTTCTTCTGCTCTGCAGGGCAAAGCCGGTTGGCTCCACTGTACAGACAAATGAGCATGGAGAGGTTAAGGCACCAACCTGCCTGCTGTTGCCCCGGGAACCCCCAGTCTCTTCCCAGCAGTGAGAGAGAAAAAGGGAACCGGTCAGCAGAGTGCTGCCCCGGTGAGCTGGGCCCTGCTCTAGACCAGATGTCAGGCCCACCCACCATTCTCTGGGTTGGGCATCCTAGCCCCTCTGCCTTTACTCACACTGGTCCCTTCTTTTGGACCACACTCCCTCCTCCCATTCAAATCCAACTCCTCCTTCTGGGCCATCCCAAGTCCTCTCCTTCCAGGAAGGTTCTTCCTGGGTCTGGCTACCCCATTCTCCCTCCTCTTTACTGTCGCAGGCCCCCCTGTGTCTCACATGGCCCAGAATGTAGATAAACACCATTCTGGGCCCAGGGAGGGGTGGGTCGGCTCCAAGGAGTTCTCGGAAAGAAAACCAGGGAGGCCTCTGAACTGGGGGAAGGAGGCAGCTGCAGGCCAGGCGGGGCTGCCTGGGGACACCTTGTCCCCAAAGTCTCCCAGTATACTCTGGTGACCCAGGTCTTCACCCGTCCTAGGCCTCCAGGCTGCCCTTCTGATCTCTGAGGGCTGTGGAGAGCATTCAGGTCCCCACACCGGCCCACGAGGACCCCTTCATTCTCCCTCTGCATGAGAGGATCAGCTCCACGAGAGATGAGGGCTGGAGAAGGCTGGAGGGCTGGGCCTGGCTTGCAGCGCTGAGGAAACGTGCTAGCTCCTTCCCCAAGTGTGACTTTTATAAATAAGCTCCCTTCGCCTTCCTTCCAAATGTGGTGGGGAAGGAGGAGGAGGGGGGAGGAGGAGGGAGGGAGGCTGGCTGTGGTGCAAGTGGCTGTCCCAAGCGCCACCCTCTGTCCAGCCCAGCTAGCACTGGAGCCTCAGTTCCTGGGGGTTCTGGCTCCTGGGGTTCAAGGTCTCCCCCAAATATGGAGTCAGAGTCAGGAGACCTGTGACCACCCCTCTTGCCCTGAGAAACTGGGTTCGAGGTACCTCCGCTTCATAGATAGGAATCTATGCAGCCCAGAGGGAGACCTGGGGAAATGGCAGTGCCCCATACTAATGGTTCCACCCCACCCAGTGTGGGCTCCTGCCAGCGGACCCTCAAGGCTGCTAGAAACCCCCAAGGGGCAGAGCCACCCAGCCATGAGTACAGCAGCCTTCATGGGCGCTGAATGCCTGGACTGGGGGCCTGTCTGGAGAGGAAGACTCAGTTTACTTTCAGAGAAGCCAGGCCTCACCACCTAAAGACCACTCTGGCTAGTGTGTGTGCGTGTATGTGTGCTGGCTGGGGGGAAGGGGGGAATCACAGACACACCAGAGCAAAGAGCTGGCTTCAAGCTTCCTACAGCCCAAGATCTCTTAGGCCTTAGGTCTCAGCCAGGTCTGAGTGTGACCATTTTTAGGACTAGGTGAAGCCCCTTTCTACCATCCCACTTCATCTTCCAGGCCAGCCACATCTCTTTTGTGCCTCAGTTTTCCCTTCAGCAGAGGGAATGAAGCTGATGAGTCAGAGGATGTCAGACGGAAAGGACTGTGCTCTCCCTGATCACCTGGTTCCCACATACACCCTCCCCTGACCCACCAGGCACCCAAACACCAGCAAATGCACCACACAGCCATTCATCACCGAGATAACCACACTCCTTCTGACTCAACCAAGCACAGGAAACTTGAGGGCAACCACAAGGGCTGGCGGGGGAAGAGTTTAGATACCATACACGACATGAGGGACCATCTTCTTCCTTTGAAACCTCGTGGGGTTTACTCCTGGGTCTGGGCACTCAGCCAGGAATAACACAGGTCTGACGGGAGAGTGGGGGCTGGCAGCCAGAGCAAGGGGGACACGGAGGCAGGAGAGCACAGGTTCCAGCCCCATGCTGCCCAGGAGACAAGACTGGTACAACGGGTGGGAGACCCAGGCACAAATGCAGGGGACCTATGGGCAGAGAGGACAAGCCATGGGATCAAAAGTCCAAAGGACCCTTGGAACTTTCCATATAAGGGGACCCAGGTCTCTGACTCTAAGGTGGGTAGCACGGGAAGTGTTCTGGGGAGACACTGAGCTAGCCCCGCCCCCGCCACAGAGATCAGCAGGTGGGGGCCTGCCAGTACGGGGGGGTCAGCCGGAGCATCAGAGGAGCCTCAACTGGGTCTAGAGCCCTGATGCCCCTCTCCCCACAGGCAGGCTTCCCTTCCTTCTCTGTCCCCCCCAGCCCCCCCACCCCAAGATTGCCATCTTTAAAGGGAGAGGTGCGAACACCCTGGTTAATAGCAGAGGCCAGGGGAGGGGGGCCTTGACGAGGAGGAGCAGGCGGCAGGGGTCTCTGTCAGGGCTGGGAGAGGGCGGGCTCCGACTCAGACGCTTTGCGCATCCTTCTACTTCCCCCACCGGAACCCCGCCCCAGAAGCCACACCCCAGGGGCCCCCGAAACACAGGTGGAAAAATAGGTTCAGGTAGGAATCCGACCAGGGAACCCCGGAAGGGTCTGGAAACGCCGGCCCGGGCTGCCCGGAAGTCAGGAATGTGGACCGGGAGCGGGTCTGACCCCTCCCGGACCAGGGCGGGCAGCAGATGCCGATCGCCACCGGGTGGGGAGCCACAGGTGACGGGAGCTACAGGTGATGGAAGGTGATGGGGGCGGCGGTCGCCCCGCGAGACAGCGCCCAACGGAGGAGCCCGGCCACACCCGACCGCCCCGTTTCCGCAGCGCGCCCTGCAGCGGGGCTCTGGACAGCGGACCGCCCGCGGCCCCTTCCCACCGGTCCCGCCGTCTGTCTAAACCAGAGGAAGGGCAGAAGGGTCAGTGATGAGGCACCGTGGGGAGAGAGAGTCGGGACCTGCTCCGCGGGGCGAGCGAGAGGTCAGGCTTCGGTCCCGCCACCGATATTCCAGAATACCCCTTCGACCCCCGAAAAGAAGGGGGCGCCGAAAAGTTTATCCAGGACTCCGGGCTCCAGTCGTCAGTCCGCGAACCATCGGAACCGAGCTCATGCGAGCCCGTGACCCCAGTGGGTCCAAGGGGCGGGACCCGGATGGGGGTCCCCGGCTCGGCACTGCTCCCTCCTACCCTGGCCAGGGACGCAGGGACTACCGCCCCAGAGGTCGCCAGAGGTGGTCGGGGAGCTGCCCGGCCGCTGGGCACGGGCGGCGAGGGGCGCCGCGCAGGGGCCGGACTCACCGTGCGGAGCTCCTGTGTTCGGTCCTTCATGCTCCCGGGAGTGGCAGCGGCACCGGCTGCAGCCCTGTGAGCCCCGCATGCGCGGCGGCCGCCCCGCGGCTGCGCAGCGCCAGCCCGGCCCCGCCCCGGCCCCCGGGACCCCGGCCCAGCCCCCAGCCCCTAGCCCGGCCCCGCCCCTCGCCCGCCCCGCCCTGGCGGGTCCCAGCCTAGAGCCCAATTCTGGGACTCTGGCTCCCCGCTCCCACTGCCCACCCTCCCCCACACCCAATCAGGTCCTCCGAAGGGTCACAGCCCAGGGACCTCATCCCCCTGCGTTCTCGACGCCCGCCTGATCCCTGCCTGGGGTCGGTTCCCAGAGTCTCTGCTCCCTCCCGTCCCAACTCCGTCCTCCCTCCTCCCATCCCTCGACTCAGCCGCTCAGCATCCCTCCTTCTGGACCCTGGCTCTTCACCCCCAGGAGCCCTCATATCCCCGGGGATTTGCTAGAGGTTAGACCCCACCTCCCTCCTTAATTTTATTGCCTTGGGACCTCCAGCATCCCCCTCCAAAAGCCTCCTCGAGCCAAAACCCTCTAGAGTTCCAGCCTTTGAGCCCCTACCCTTCCTGCCTTCTCCCAGCGTCTCATCCAGACTCAGGCTCTGGCCCCTTCTTTCCCCAGGATTCCTCAGTTCACAGTCTGATGCTGAGTGACCACCACTTTTCCTTTAGTTTCCACTCCCAGCAAGATGCAGACACCCCTCTATTTTAGGGGAAGGTGATCTAAGTTATAGCCCCATCTCTTTCCCCTTTCCCTGTAGTCCCAGTCCTGCATCCCAGCCCCGGGCCTGAGATCCTACTTCCTAGCTAGAAGCTGGGAGTAGCTAAGCAGGGGCTGAGCTCCTCTGGACTAATGGGAAGGTCTTCTCAATACTGTGGAGGGGTGGTGGCTGGGGGCTAGTCAGTAGCAGATGCTTCTTTTCTGGTCCCTGCCAGCATCTTGTTGAGCGGCAGCCACACACACACACACCCAGCTGCCCCCTCTGTGCCCTGGCCCAGATGCTCTGACCTCAAGCCAAGCACTCCCCCTTCCCTTCCCCAGGGCTGCCAAGGTGTTGCTCTGGAGCTGGGCCAGCCCCCTGCTGACCAGTATGTCCAGGCCCAGCAGTTCTCCGAGACTGTGGGCACAGGTTAGCTGGCTGGCAGACAGGCTGGAGACACTGTTCCAGCCATCCCTCCTTCCCAGGAAAGTCTGGTCCAAGACTAGCTCAGACGTAGCCTAGCACGAGAGGCAGCCACATCCCTTCCACTTGTCCAGACCTCAACCTTGAGTGTCCCACAGAGCAAGTGTTGGTGGTGCCCCATTTGACAGATGCGAGACCAGAACTCACCTGCTAGAGGGACTTGCCCAGGGTTACAGGGAACAGGTGGCAGGGAAGCTGCTGATTCCTGGTTCAGAGTACTTTCCTCTGTGCAGGGTGACTCAGTGGGGTGAGTCATGGGTGCAGCCCCAGAGCCCAGTGTCTGGCCCTGTGGGGAGAGGGCAGGAAGGGGAGACACAGCTGCTGCCCTTAGAGAATCCTGGTGTCATGCCAAGCATCACTTATTGAGATGAATATTAAATGGTAGCGTGAAAAATGAATAGAGAATGAATGTGTGCCCTTCAACTTAAACTGCCTTTCTGATACAGGTCTTACTCTCATTCATTCATTCATTCATCAAACATTACCTGGGAATGCACGTTCTGGGGATACTGTTCTGCACTTAAGGTGCTCCTAGAGTGGTGGGAGAGACAGACATGGTTTCAATATGTGAAGGATTCAGGGTGGCTTCCCAGAGCCGGTGACATTCAAGCTGGATATTGAAGGAGTGGCATTGCAGCAGGCAGTGGTGCAGGCATTCTAGACAGAAGGAGTGTGCCCAGACGCTGGGGTGAGGGTGGAGAGCAACTGGAGAACCTCAGGAGCCTGCTGCAGTGCTCAGGTATGGGGATGAGCGTGGGTGGGAGATGAGTCCAGTGAGGGAGACCTTGAACGTTAAACTTCATTGTGAAGACAAGGGGGGAGGCAATCAAGGGTCCGACTTTCATTCCCTTAATCAAAAAGCATCTACTATGTGCTGACTATTCTAGACGTTAGGGACATGGCAGAAAACCAAAGTCCTTGCCCTCCATGGGTTCTAGTAGAGGAGAGAGATGACAAACAAGAAAATAACATACATGACGGTGATAATATATTATGAAGAAGATAAAGCAGGACAGAAGGAGTAGGGTGCCAGGTTTGAGGCAGGATTCCAGCTTTAAATCAGGTGGTCAAGGAGGGCCTTGCTGAGAAGGTGCCACTTGAGTACATATTTAAAGGAGGTGAGGGGGTAGGGCTGCCCTGGTGGCGCAGTGGTTGAGAGTCCGCCTGCCGGTGCAGGGGACGTGGGTTTGTGCCCCGGTCCGGGAGGATTCTGCATGCCGCGGAGCGGCTGGGCCCGTGAGCCATGGCCGCTGAGCCTGCGCGTCCGGAGCCTGTGCTCCGCAACGGGAGAGACCACAGCAGTGACAGGCCCGCGTACCGCAAAAAAAAATAATAATAATAATAAAGGAGGTGAGGGGGGCTTCCCTGGTGGTGCAGTGGTTAAGAATCCACCTGCCAATGCAGGGGACATGGGTTCGAGCCCTGGTCCAGGAAGATCCCACATGCCATGGAGCAACTAAGCCCGTGCACCACAACTACTGAGCCTGCGCTCTAGAGCCCGCATGCCACAACTACTGAAGCCCGCGCGCCTGGAGCCTGTGCTCCGCAACAAGAGAAGCCACCGCAATGAGAAGCCCGCGCATGGCAGTGAAGAGTAACCGCCACTCGCCGCAACTAGAGAAAGCCCGCGCACAGCAATGAAGACCCAACGCAGCCCAAAATAAAATAAATTTTAAAAACCTTTTTTTTCTAAATAAATAAATAAAGGAGGTGAGGGAGTGAGGCATGTAGGTCTCTGGGGGAGGAGCATTCTGGGCAGAGGAAACATCAAGTGCAATGACCAGGAGCAGGGAGTGTGCCTAGCATATCGGAGAGACAGCAAGGAGGTGAGGATGCCTGGAGTGTGGTGGGTGAAGAAGAACTCCAAGGAGGTGAAGTCAGAGGACTCGAGGGAGGGGCGTTGGAATTGACTGTGTGTCCCTTGGCTTTGATTCTGAGGGTGATGGGAGCCCCCAGAGGGTTTTGAAGAGAGAAGGTACCTGATCCATCTTGGGCTTCAGCAGGATTGCTCTGATTGCTGAGTGGAGAACAGACGGAAGGGGACACGGGAGGAAGCAGGGACGTATTTAGGAAGTTGTTGTGATCACGCAGGCAGCTGGGCCAAAGGTGATACAATGGTGGTGATGAGAAGTGGTCACATCCTGGATACATTTTATTTTTATTTATTTTATTTTATTTTATTTTATTTTTTGGCTGTGCCATGTGGCTTGCAGGATCTTAGTTCCCCAACCAGGGATTGAACCTGGGCCACAGCAGTAAAAGCGCCGAGCCCTAACTACTGGACCACCAGGGAGCTCCCCTGGATACATCTTAAAGGTAGAGCCAACTGAGAGAAAGAGAGGCATCAAGGATGCCTGGAGTCAAGTTTTTTGCCCTGAATACATGGAAAGATGGTGTTGCCATTTGCAAAGATGGAGGAAAAACTAGAGAAGGAGCAGGTGGCAGGTGGGTGGCAGGTGGTAATAGGATTCGGGGTTTGGACCCTTAAGTTTGAGTGGCCCATTAGACATCCCACCAGGGAGGGCAAGTAGGCCACTGCCCATAGGAATCTGGAATTTGTGGGAGAGGTCCAGGCTGGAAGAGGCCACCATAGATGGTCTTAAAGCAAGGGAAGAGGCTCATCTATAGCAGCATGGAGGCCAGCTGGAAGGCTGCTGCGTTGTCCAGGAGAGAGACTGGGACTGTGTGAACAAGAGCAGGACCCATCGGCTGGAGAGAAGGGTCAAAGGCATTCAAGAGATTTATTTAAGGGAATTCTCTGGTAGTCCAGTAGCTATAGTTAGGACTCCGTGCTTCCACTGCAGGGGGCACGGGTTCGATCCCTGGTCAGGGAACTCAGATCCCGCAAGCCATGTGGCCAAGAAAAAAGAGAGAGAGAGAGAGAGAGAGAGATTTAATACGACTACACTTTATTTCAATTATGAAAAGAATATGTTTGTTGTAAAACATTAAAACAGTGACAGAGGCTTCCCTGGTGGCAGTGGTTAAGAATCCGCCTGCCAATGCAGGGGATGCGGGTTCGAGCCCTGGTCCGGGAAGATCCCACATGCCGTGGAGCAACTAAGCCTGTGTACCACAACTACTGAGACTGTGCTCTAGAGCCCGCGAGCCACAACTACTGAGCCCACATGCCACAACTACTGAAGCCCGCGCGCCTAGAGCCCGTGCTCCGCAACAAGAGAAGCCACTGCAATGAGAGGCCTGCGCACCGCAACAAAGAGTAGCCCCCGCTCGTTGCAACTAAAAGGAAAGCCCATGCACAGCAACGAAGACCCAACGCAGCCAAAAAAAAACAACAAACAAATAAATAAATTTAAAACAAAACAAAACAGTGACAGATATTATGAACTAGAAGCCACAGGCCCTGTGACTGACCACATGCCGATAAGCACAGAACTGGCACCTGGGAGAGGGGTTTGACCAGGATGTGTACTATTTAAGGTTTCTGCCCTGACATCCAGAGGAGACAGGCAGACAGTCAATGAGGAGTTAGTGTGGCACACAGGCTGGAGACTTGGAAGGCAGGAGGAGCCTGGCTTGGGGTGGAAATGGAAGTTGTGGGCCCCAGTCTAGGGAAGTATGTGCATATGTGTGTGTCTGTGGGTGTGTGTCTGTGTCTATGGAAGTAGGTGAAGGGCTGAAGATGAAACTGACAGGTGAAGGATGGCCAGAGACAGAGGACCTAGAACCATGGCAGGAGCTAAAGAAGAAGCTGCTGCACAAGGCGCCAATGAGTACCCGAGCAGCCACCTCCCTGGGATCAGGGACCACTTTGCAGACGTGGGGCATTTGACTTGGGGCTTAAAGGATGAGTAGGAGGTGACCAGGTGGAGAATGAGGGAAGGGCATTCTGGGGCAAAGCTGTGAACAAGGACATGGACAGTGAGAGAGCAGGGCTTCGTCCCTGTGGGAACCAGGCAGTCCCCACAACACACATCACTCCCATTCTTTAATGTGGTTAATTGATGGAGATTCAGTCCAGAGCAATGTTCTGTAGAGCCCTCTCCCCACTCTCGTTAAAGGGGCATCACTGTGCCCCAACACTGGCATTCTGCACCCCTCTACTTGTTCAGGTTTCCTTTTTTCCTTGAGGAGCAGGGAAATGCTGGTACCACAATATAGCTTTCCAGGTCCTTTGTGGTCTGGCCCTGCCTCTCTTCTTGGAGGCCACCTTCCCTCCCACCCTGTGAGCAGCCTTAACGCCTGACCTGCACATGCCTGGGGCCCTCTCCTCCCTCTTTTCTCCTCCTCCCCATGCAGCTGGCCAATGACTTCTAGTCCTTCCCCGCTAGACATCACCTCCTCCAAGAATTTGTCTCTGACCACCCAAGAATGAGCTTTGGACTCCTTCTGCGTGGTCCCACAAAGGCCTGTATTTATCCCGACTATAGCACTATCGTCCTGTGTGTATATAGTGTGTGTTAAGTGTCTGTCCCCTCATTAGATGGGGACACATAAAGGGAAGGAACGGGGTCATGTTCTTGTCGATTCCCCAGGGCTGGCACAGAAAGTGTGTTTGCAGACTGAGCTGGAAACACTTGGATGCTTGAATGAGGCGTGTTCCTATAAAGGAGCACTGAAGGAAAGGCTGGGCGTCTGGGAGCATCCTCGCCCCAGCACAGTTTGGGGTTTCCATCCCAACAGCAGGGAGGGTGGGAGTGGGGATCCCTAATATTGGGAACTGCTGCCACCTGCTGGGCAAGGCCGGTGTTGCCTTGCCCACGCCCTCACGGCTGAGCACCTGTGTGCCCAGGTCGGGATGATGACAGTCACTACTTGTCCTCCAGAAACTCCCGGGCTGGTGTGAGAGACACCCTGACAGTGACAAGACAATGATGTGGAAGTATATGGGCTTTCGGGGTCTGGAGGCGGAAGGGGAGGCAGTTTGTGTAGAATTCAGGAATTCTGTCCCCGGGGCAGAGTTGTGAGGGGCTCAGAGCAGGAAGGGCCAGCCAACCCAGGCTCCGAGGCTGGGGAGAGTGCGTGTCCGTGTGTGTGTGTGTGTGTGCGTGCGTGCGTGCGTGTGTGTTGTTGATGTTCTCCTGTTGTGGCTTTTCTGCTGCTTTCTGGCAGATTTACTCCCTCTTTCTCCTCCCCTGGGAAGTCTGGCCCTGGCCCATTATTGTACAAAGTTCTGGCCATTGTGTAAGGGTCACTCTTACTGTGACCCTATCAGGAAGGCCCTCCTTTAGTTCCATTTCACAGATGAGGACGATGAGGCTCAGAGAGGTAAACACAAACCAGGTACTGAAGGTTGGGTGACATGGTTTGTAAGCCACCTAGCCCTGCAAATCCAAGCTGTTTGACCACAAAGTCCAGCCCTGCCCAGCAGGCAGCTCTCCTTCCCCCTTCCAGACTCCCTAACCCCAGCCCACCATCTTCTAGCTCAGTCTTGAGGCCTGGGCTCAGCCATCCTGGGGGTGCAGCAGAGGAGGGAGATACGGGCAGTAGGCAGCTGGGGAATGAGTCTCACTGCTCAGTGTGTGATATTTAAGGTATTTGTGATGGAATTGACTATATGCCTGAATACATTGCCCTCCTTTTCCCAATGAGAAGATTTTTAAGAAAGAAATTTGGCTCAATAGTCTAATTAAAACATTTAGGGGTGCAAATGAAATAAGCGGCTCCCTAGTAATATTTAGTGAAAACATTTAAAATGGAAATACTTTAAATCACATATATTTACAAATAACTTTATTTCAAAACAATTCTTTTCCACGCTCACGGTTTGTGAAAGTTCATTCGAACCCTTCACTTGTATTTCTGCTTCTCATTGTCATGTCATGTGTCATCCCTAGCACCTCCTTTGAGTTCCCTAATACAGTTTTCTCGAATGTGTCATCTTCACTTGTGCTTGGAAATACAGAACTCTTTTTTTTTTTTTGGCTGCACTGCATGGCATGTGCAACTTCCCCGACCAGGGATTGAACCCGTGCCCCCTGAGGTGGAAGTGTGGAATCTTAATCACTGAACCATCAGGGGAACCCAGAGCTTTTTGAATCCATGAATGATGCTGTTGCTGGAAAAATTATTCCAAGTCATGAGAACGGTTATCTTTCATCTCAGTGGTAGGTTAATATTTGTGATCTCCCTAGGATAGTACAGAATTATATAAAATAGCAATCTCCTAGTCTTTTATCATTCTCTTGCCCTGCTTTCTTTTTCTTCACAGCACTTCTTACCATCTGGTATACTCATTTATTTATTGTTTATTGTCTATCTCCCTTCCCTAGAATGTGAGCTCCGGTGGTCAGGGAACTTTGTCTATCTTCTTGTTTTATGTCTGTCACTTGGAAACATGCCTGAAGCATAGTAGGTGCTCAATAAATATCTGTAGAATGAACGAATATAAAAGTCTTAGAAATGTTTGATAGCCCAGTGGCAGCCAGGACCATGCATGCAGATGGCACTGGTGTGGGATGGGAAGGCAGCCCTGCCAGACCCACCCCCATGTAAGGAGGGCATCTAAGTCAGGGGCAGCCTGTTGTCTCAGAGGATTAGCTACCTACAGGGAGACTGAACAAATTATAAAATATATTGAAAACAATTGGGGAAAAGGCAGTAAAAATCTGGAAAGGGGGAAAGCTAGGATGAACCCTGTGCCATTGGAATTTAAGGTCTGAATGGAAACTATTTTTCAATATATGGAAATTGTATTAGTTTGGGTTTTCGGAGAACCAGAACCAATAGGATAAATATAGAGAAAGAGACTTATTATGAGGGATTGACTCACGCAATTATGGAGGCTGAGAAGTCTCACAATCTGCTGTCTGCAAGCTGGAGACTTGGAAAGCAGGGTGGTGGAGTTCCGGACTCAGACAGAAGGCCTGAGAACCAGGGAGCTATAATGGTGCAAGTACCAGTTCAAGGGCAGGAGAAGACCAAGTCTAGCTCAACAGTCTGAAAGAGAGAATTCAACCTCGCTCTGCCTTTTTGTTCTATTCAGGCCCTCAATGAATTGGATGATACCCGCCCACATCAGGGAGGGCCACCTGCTTTACCCAGGCCACCAAGTCAAATGCTAACCTCTTCTGGAAACACCCTCACAGACACACCCAGAGGTAATATTTAACCAGGTATCTGGGCATCCAGCAGCTCAGTAAGGTTGACATATAAAATTAACCATCACACAGATAAAGGAATAAACATAGGTATAAATGTGTATGTTTATGTGTGTATATAAACATGTGTCTACTGAGCGGGCCTGGCAGTAGAGGTTACCCTAATTGCATTGAGCACAACTAACACCCAGATCTCGGTTTCTAAATATTATTCTCCAGCAAAAAGAAACAGGTATTCTTGTTGAAATGGCTAATTCTAGGGCTGGGGCAGGGAAAAACAAGATGAACCTGGAATATCTTATTGAGCCAGAAAAGAATGGACGTGTCCAAAGAATGAGGCGACACATCAAAATGACAAGAGGTCAGCAAGGGGCACCCGTTGACCAATCCTGGGACAATTTAAGCATCAAAATAAATGATAGGAATGGATTATAACCTATGGAATAAAATAGGAAATCACAAGTTCATCTGATAAATAAGTAAATGAATAAATAAATGGGGGTGAAGAAAAAGTTTTTTATAATAGAAGGCCAACTAATAAATGTAGAAGAAATGATAAAATTGGAAAATCACCATTTGCAAACCATTGTATTAATAATTAATTCAGGCAAGAAACATCAATGGATGCTGAAACCTATGGGTGAAAGTGGGATGAAGAAAAGGGTGTTTCATAGTCTTAAAGTACCTCCCTTCCCCAATACCTACTAATTATGATCAAGTGATCAACATTACCAGCACCAGGCGTCACGGTTCCAAATGATACTGAATACAAGAACACAGCATCAGGAGTTCCCTGGCGGTCCAGTGATTAGGACTCAGCGCTTTCACTGCCATGGCCTGGGTTCAATCCCTGGTCAGGGAACTAGGGAACTAAGATCCCGCAAGCTGTGCAGCATGGCCAAAAAAAAAAAAAAAAAAAAAAAGCACAGCATCGTTTTTGTGATATTTCTGCCCAAAATATATAACAGTGGTCTAATTGTGAGAAAGAAATGGACAAACCCAAATTGAAGGACAGTCTACAAAATAAGTTCCCTGTAATTTTCAAACATGTCAAGGTCAAAATTCAAAGAAAGGCTGCAAATTGTTCTAAATTGAGGGAGACCAGAGAGATGTGACAACTGGGTGCGATGTTTGATACCATATTAGTTTTTTTAACCCTAAAAGGATATATAGATACA